AGACCCGGTCCCCCCCCCCCCCCCCGTCGTGGGAGCCCCCCCCCCTTCCCTCGCCGTCGCGTCCGTTCTCGGGCGCGGTGACCCCTCCGTCGGGGCCGACCTCCTCGTCCCGGTCAAGGTGTCCCAGAACGCTCGCTCCCGGCGTCGGCGGAGGGGTGGCCGTAAAGCCGCCGCCGCCGCCGCCGCCGCCACCCGCTCCTAGCCCGACACTGACGCCGACGGGCTGGCGCTCTTGGTGGAGGTGGCTTTGCCCCCAATGCGCGCCCCCGGCTGCCCCGACAGTTGATGCCGCCGCCGTGGCTGCCGCCGTAGCAGCGGCCACCGCCGCCGTGTTAGCCGCCGCCGCCGCTTCCGCGTCCTTGCGGAGGCACTGCAGCTGGAACCCGGCGAGCCTGTCGATCATCTCTTGGCCCGCCGGCCCGGGCTGCCAGTCGGGGTAGTGCGCCCTGGGGGAGGAGGCAGCAACGGTATCGGCGTCGGCGGGAAAAGGGACAGCATTAACAGCCACAAACATGTCAGGCATGGAGGGGGGGGGAATCGTGGGAGTCGAGAACTTGCCAAGGTGTCAGGGGGTATGGGATATGAAGGGGTGTCACGGATATTTTCGAGGGTCTAGGCCGAAGAAACGCAGGATCGAGCGTATCGCCAGCGACAGCAAAAGGAAATAACAGTAACTACGACCGCAGCAAAACAAGCAAGAGGGTGGATCGCCTCGGGCACCAGCTACCGCGCAAGAAATAAAAAACGGGGTAAGACGGAGAAGGGCAAGGCTAAGGTTTCCTTCCTCCTCAAAGCAGGCTAATATTTTTTCTCTACTCTAGCCAGGGACATGTGTGAAGCTAGCCAAGGTTTGATGTTTCCGCGGGCGGCACACGCCAGAAGCTAGCAACGCTTTTTGTTCCTCTTCCAATCAGACACGTGCCTGAAGTTTAGGAAGGACTTCTCCATCTTCCCCTGGGCAGTAGTGTCTGGCCGCCGCCGCCGTGCCCTCTCCGCCGGCCCGACCTCGGCCATCGAAGCCGCGGACGGGGCTGCGTAGTCCTCGTCTCCGTACCTGCGTGAACGACCGGCGTACAAGCGGACCCGTACGTGGCACGGGACGGTACGGACACCTGATGGTGAGGGTTTCTCATACACCGTCCAGGCGGTGTCGACAGTGTTCATGTAGTGGAACGGGACGGAACGGCCAATAGACGTTGAGGGTTTCTTACATACCGTCACGGAGGTGTAGAAAACGTTCACGTAGTGGTACGGGCCAAAAGTTCACGTCGTGGTACGGGACGAGACGTTCAATTGATGGCGAGGGTTTCTTACATCGTCACGGAGGTGTCGAAAGCGTTTACGTAATACTAACGCGCTGGCAAGGCAACATCAACAGCAAAACGAGCATGCGCGTAGACTCGCGAGCACCATGCTCGGTGCACCTCCGTGACCACCGATCCCGGGTTTGTGCCCGTTCCTGTCGGATCAGATCTAGCAAACTCAAAATCAGTAGCTAGGCGCGGTTGCTTCTTTCTGTCTCCCCCATGTCTTGATCGGAAACCTTAGCTGTACCCACGGGAGTCGCCAATTGTTTTAGAACGATTTCCATGTCTTTGACTGCGAAAAGTGGATGCAGATGCCCATATCCGCGATACAGGAGGTGACGAGCTCAGCCAAAACCTCAACACACACACATACACAGAGTCTGCTGCCAGTGGAGAGCGAGGCGCAACAATACCCCCCCCCGCGCGCGAAAAACGAAGACATCCATAAGCGCACGCCGAAACATGGAACACCTGTACAAGCGACAGTCAGCGACAGCGGCAAGCGGCGACAGCAAAAAAAAGGCAGCGGCAGCGATCTTACCGGCCGAAGTCGAAGACGCTGTAGCTGCAGACTGAGCCGACCCCCGGCACCTCCACCGTGTGCTCCGTCACGAACTCCACGATCTCCTGGGCACAGCTGGGCATCGAGAAGCACAAGATAACCGGTGCAAACAGCACGGCCAGCAGCTCCTGTGCCACAAAAAAACACGCCGCGAGAGAGTCGTGGAACACCGACGGGCAGGGAACGGGGGTCGACGCAAGGGCGTACGAGAAGGTGGTAAGAGCTTCGCCGTTTTCGCACGGGATCGACCCATGGTACGTGTCGTCGCAGAAGGGAGCGGAGTGTTTTTGGAGGAGGCGTACTCGTGTTTTGCATGCCTTGTGAGACCATGCGTCCTCGAGAGGACATCGTTCCCACGGATGGGCGGAGTTTCGGGGCGGGTAGGGTGGCCAGCGGCAACGGAAGTGCTGACCTCAAGAAACAGCTGCGCCTTGTAGTGGAACAGCCCCAGGAGCTCCGCGCGGACCACCACGGTGTGGGCCTTGCCCAGCCAGTGCTCCGGCATGTAGTGGGTGTGCGCCGCCACCTTTTGATGTTTCGGAGGGGGCGTGGGGGGGGGGGGGGGGGGGCCCCTGTAATTTTGTAAGGGGGGGGGGGGGGGGGG